TTCAATGGTTCACTGGTCGGACCAGTGGTCGAACCGGTTTAACTAATATACAATTTATTTATTTATTTTATATGTATAATATATAATTGTATATATATATATATATATATATATATATATATATATATTTATCATTATTTGTTCATTTTATTTTTTGAAAAGTTGATTCCTACACACAATGGAATGAGAAAACCTTCCATTTACTATGGAATGGTTAATCCCATGGAGATGGGTTTTGTCATTTCCATTGGAATGGTTAATCCCATGGAGATGGGTTTTGTCATTCCCATTCGAATGGTCATTCCTTCCCAAAAAATATACCAATAATGGGATTAAGAATGAGTAAGGGAATGTTCATTCCAATCCCATGTCATTCCTTTCTACCAATCATGTCATGAGTATGTTAAGGTGGACAACCCGAATTAATAGTTAATTATATTAGTTAAAGATGTACTCTTCTGCTACGTTCAGATATAAAATTTGATGAGTCAAATTTGATTTGAGTCAACATTGTGTATAATTATTTCTAGGGCAACTTCTAAAAAAATCCCCAAGTCCCTTTTCAATTTCCTTCTCAGTCCCTAGACCTTTTTTTCTTCTTCCTAACTCCCTACCCCCATAATTATGTTCCACTTAAATCCCTAGTGTTAAATTAAATCAAAAAGAAAACAAGTTATGACATCATCCCCACTAAAAGGTAGTATTATATATTATTTTATTATACATTTTTCTTTTTTCTTTATTTTATTTTGTTGGAGCTTCTTCCCCACACATCTCTCCTCTCTCCCGTCCCCCTCCATTCCCGCCGGCGATTTATCTTCTCTCTTTTTTTTTCTATTTTTTTTTTGCAGATCGGTCTCTCCGGCGACCGAAATCCAGCGAGAAGAACTCCGGCAACAACAAATTCGGCCAAACAAGTGATTCCGACGTCAAATTTGTGCGGCCAAAAATTTATTTTTTCCGGCAACATTCGTGCTTTTTCCGGCCAAAATTTGAAGTAGTAAGTAATATATGTATTATATTAGCATTTTGGAGTCCAAAAATCATGTTTAATTTGTATATATTTGGTTAATTTGTTAGGATTGAAGTTTGAAAATTGTTGTTCATATTTACCCTAAATCATAAATTGATCAAAACTCTTATTTTTTGTTTATGTATACGAAATTGATGATATTGTTAGGTTATGTAATGTGTTATTCACCCTAAAACAAGAAAATAAGGTGGGAATGATCACTGTACCACTATTATTGATTATTGTACTTCTATTTGTATGTATATAGTACCACTTTAATATTGTTTTGTACCATATTTTCCTGGGAAATGTGAAGTTTTTTTTTATTTATCCAATTATTGTTAGATACATGGAAGGGACATAAAGTGATATACTAGGGAATTGTACGTACAAGAATGAATTGTTTGTGTTCTCTATGCACATTGGATCAACGTTTAACGAAGTGTACATTCTCATATCACAGAGGTGACCGAACGTTAATTTTGAATCCGTCGTGCTATGCTATATTGCGCCAAAGGAAAAAAAGAGAGTTAGTTTGTTGGATGATGAGGATGTGAAGAACATGATTCGGTTACATGCTTGTTGGAAAATAAATATTGTAGAGATAATTGCCATTGAAAGAAATGAAAGACCGGATGATGGAGTTCAATCCTTCCCGATGAACATGAGCAGATAATGTTGCTTTCATAATATTAATGAATTTATTATTAAAATATGGTATAGGCGCATCATATCCTAGTTCATTAATTTTTTAACTAGTTCCATTATTTATAAATCTTTGTATTATTTTGTCATGCACGCAGGGAAATCGCACCGTATGATGATTTTCGGAGGGAGAACATGAGTAGTTGCAAGATAAATCGATCGATTCTTGGATATTTTGGCATGTGTCGTTTTGAGTCAGTTGCTTTTTTTCTTTTGCCGGAATATGTTTTTTGATGATACATAATTGACATATTCCGAGTATGTACTGTATGAATATTTTGCGAATACAAAGCATGATATAAAAGATGTTTCATTTTCATATGCATTTTCAATTCTGCATGAGTACTTAAGAACGTCAAACCAGATACTCTCCTTTTGCAATATAGGTACTAGTTTTATGGACATATGTTTGTACTCATTTTCATTCCAAAGAGTGGGTAGTAAATGACACTTTATGAGTAATATTTTTCATACAATATACTGGTATTTTATACTGCAATATATGTAATAGTTTTGTGAAGTATTAATCGTTGTATTACATTTTCATTCCAGAATGTTGGTACTATATGACTAATTTATAGTACTGAACTAACAAAACAGGTACAACACTACAACATCACATGTACCAACATAACGCTCAGTTTTTTTATTCTTCTTTTTTGCTCCTTTTTCGAGCCAAAGGCATATGGATTAAATTTAAAACATTTTAAATCTCATAGAAAATAATGTGAGAGTGATTCTTGGTCATATAAACATCATTTGAGACTAAAATTCGGTGTTTTTATGTGATCATTACAATTGGTACTAAAGACCCGATATCTGTTACTAAAACATCGAAAGATGGTACTATCATACTCTAGGTTTGGTACCAATTATTGTAAATGCTGACCAAAATTGAATAATCCATTTTCGCTGACCAAAAGTTGGTACTAATTGATAAAAAACAGGTACCACATACAAGAAGAAGCGGTACTATATTGGCTAAAACAGGTACTATTTTAAGAATAGTGATTTCTATAATCTTTCATGTCACTATGACACGTGGATCGTTTACGCGTTATTTGAATGAAAAATAGTGGAAGTGAAAACATATAGGTTTAATTTGGAGTAGTCATGTATGATGATTCTTTGAGATGAAGTGTATCATTCAATGAAATGAAGTATATTAGTAGTGATTTCTCATTAGTGTGTCGAATTCATGACCATTAAACTCAATCTGAAACATTTTAAATCTCATAGAAAATAATGTGAGAGTGATTATTGGTCATATGAACATTATTTGAGACCGAAATTTGGTGTTTTTATGTGTTCATTACAAGTGGTACTAAAGACTGAATATTTGGTACTAAAACACTGAACGATGGTACTACCTTACTCTAGGTCTGGTACAAATTATTGCAAATGTTGACCACAATTGAATAATCTATTTTCATTGACCAAAAGTTGGTACTAATCGATCAAAAATAGGTACCACGTAGAAGAAGCTGCGGTACTATATTGGCTAATACAAGTACTATTTTGAGAATCGTGATTTCTCTAATCATTCATGTCTACTATGACACGTGGATTGTTCACGCGTGATTCGGATGAAAAATAGTAGAAGTTAACACATATATGTAGAATTTGGAGTAGTCATGTATGATGATTCTATGAGATGAAGTGTGTCATTCAATGAAATGAAGTGTATTAGTAGTGTTTGCTCATTAGTGTGTTGAGTTCATGACCAATTTGCGATGAAACTTACTAAACACATTCTAAATTTCATAGCAACTAATGTGTGAGTCATTTTGAGTCATATAAATATCATTTAAGATCGAAATTTGGTGTTTTTTCTATGTTCTTTGCTGTTGGTACTAAAAACCCGATATCTGGTACTAAAACACCAAAAGTTAGTACTATCTTACTCTAGGTCTGGTACCAATTTTTGCAAATGTTGACCAAAATTGAAGTAATCCATTTTTGTTGACCAAAAGTAGATACTAATTGATTCAAAAAAGGTACTACGCAAAACAAAAAGCGGTACTATTTTTGTCAAAACTGGTACCGTTTCAGTAATCGTGATTTCTTTAATCCTTCATGTCCACCATGCCACGTGGATCGTTCACGTGTGATTTGGTTGAGAAATAGTGGAAGTTAAAACATATAGGTAGAATTTGGAGTAGTCATGTATGATCATTCAATGGGATGAGGTGTCTTTTAATGAGATGAAGTGTATCAGTAGTGGTTTTTCATGTATGTGTTGAGTTCGTGACCAATTTACGATTAAACTTAATTAAACTCATTTTAAATTTCATAGAATCTAATGTGAGAGTGATAATAGGTCATATAAACATCATTTGAGACAGAAATTCGGTGTTTTTTTTATGTTCGTCGGAGTTGGTACTAAAGACCCGATAGTTGGTGTTAAAACACCATAAAGTTGGTACTATCTTACTCTAGGTCTGGTACTAATTTTCACAAATGTTGATCAAAATTGAGGTAAACCATTTTCGTTGACCAAAAGTAGGTACTAATTGATTAAAAATAGGTACTACGCAGAAGAAAAAACAGTACTATTTATATCAAAACTGGTACCGTTTTAGTAATCATGATTTCTTTAATTCTCGATGTCTACCATATCACGTGGATCATTAACGCGCAATTTGGTTTAGAAATAGTGAAATTTAAAACACATAGGTAAAATTTAAAGTAGTCATGTATGATAATTCTATGAGATGAAGTGTGTCATTCAATGAAATGAAGTATATTAGTAGTATTTTCTCATTAGTGTGTCGAGTTCATGACCACTTTACGATTAAAATCAATTAAAACATTGTAAATCTCATATAAATGAATGTGAGAGTGATTATGAGTAATATAAAGATCATTTGAGGTCGAAATTCGGTGTTTTTATGTGTTCATTACAAGTGGTACTGAAGACCCAATATCAGGTACTACAACATCATAAAATTGGTACCATCGTACTCTATGTCTGGTACTATTTTTTATAAATGTTGACCAAAATTGAAATAATCCATTTTTCGTTCACAAAAGTAGGTACTAATCGATCAAAAACAGGTACCACGTTGAAAAAGATGCGGTACTATTTTGGCAAAAACACGTACTATTTTAAGTATCGTGATTTCTCTAATCCTTCATGTCTACCATGACACGTGGATCATTGACGCGTGATTTGGATGAAAAATAGTGGAATTTAAAACATATAGGTCGAATTTGGTGTAGTCATGTATGATGATTCTATGAGATGAAGTGTGTCATTCAATGAAATGAAGTGTATTAGTAGTGTTTTCTCATTAATGTGTCGAGTTCATGACCACTTTATGATTAAAATCAATTAAAAATATTTTAAATCTCATATAAACGAATGTGAGAGTGATTATAGGTCATATAAGCATCATTTGAGACTGAAATTCGGTGTTTTTATATGTTCGTTAACAAGTGGTACTGAAGACCCAATATCAGGTACTACAACAACATAAAACCGGTATTATCTTACTCTATGTCTGGTACTATTTTTTGTAAATGTTGACCAAAATTGAAATAATCCATTTTTGTTCACAAAAGTAGGTACTAATCGATCAAAAAACAGGTACCACGTAAAAGAAGATGTGGTACTATTTTCACTAAAACAGGTACTATTTTAAGAATCGTTATTTCTCTAATCCTTCATATCTACCATGACACGTTGATCGTTCATGCGTGATTTAGATGAAAAATAATAGAAGGTAAAACATAAAGATAGAATTTAGAGCAACCATGTATGATGATTTTATGAGATGAAATGTGTCATTTAATAAGATGAAGTGTATTAGTAGTATTTGTCATTAGTGTGTCGAGTTTATGACCAATTTACGATTAAACTCAATTAAAAACATTTTAAATCTCATAGAAACTAATGTGAGAGCGATTATAGGCCATATAAACATCATTTGAGACCGAAACTCAGTGTTTTTCTATGTTCTTTATAAGTGGTACTGAAGACCCAATATCACGTACTACAACAACATAAAACTAGTACTATCTTACTCTATGACTGGTACTAATTTTTGCAAATGTTGACCAAAAATTGAAGTATCTAAGTAAGTCAAAACCATCACACGATTACAAATATATGTATTTATAAATGAGTCTGAGCCTCATAGCCCTAAGCAAATACTAGGGTGTAAATACTTTTGGACGAAGAGGTTTTTGCACTCGTTCAATTGTGATGTGTGACGTCAAGCATCCAAGATGATACTTATATTTTTATTAGGGGAACATTTTGAATGGGGTATTAAATATCCAATATTCAAACAAGATCCAACTAATAACACATATCGGGCGCAGCCCACCCAAACATGATATAACGCGGTAGGTGTATATGCAGAAATCTTTCTCATTATCATAGCGGATCTTCCAAAAAAAACCAAATTCTATCTGGTCTTGTTTCCACTTTTCCGGTTATTCTTGATACTATTTTGAAATATTGGTTCGACAAATACTGGACGTCGCCTACCGAGCCATAATATATCGCGATCCACAAATACCGGGCGCCGCCTACCCAGACAATATAATCGCGGACACTAACTAAAATAAAATGAACTATTTAATTTATTTCAGTTGGAGAAATATGAGCAAATAACCTAATTATCATGCATTTATAATATTCCAAAAATATAAATATGTATTCAAAATACATATGTCAAGCAAATTCATGGATCATAATAATGTGCTAAAATATTCATCAAAATTTCTAAAATTTTGAAACAAGCTCGAAGCTTTATTTCGTTCATTAAATATTTCAAAAATATTTAAGAGTGATTTAACAATAGTTTTTAGTTTGAAATATACCCTAAAGGCTAATTTCAATTTTAGGGATTTCTTAGAAATTTAAAAGAAGCAAAAATACTAATTATTTCAACTTTTTCAAAATTCTGAAATTCAGTACAGCCAAACAAACCTCAGATTTTTTTCAGAAATTACAAATTGACCCCAGGGCAAAATTGAAATAAACCAAACTTTCTGAAATTGCCAATTAACCCCTAAAATATATCAAATTTTTGAAAATAGGCCCAGCCCAAATTTATTCTTTTCTCGTCCGTTCAAGACTGCCCGCCGTCGTCACACGACCTCCGGCAAGCCATTGCCGTCCCAGGACCTCTTGAACCCGCCGGCGACCTCAAACAATCAAGGTCTCATTTTGGCAGCCGACGAGCACAAGAGGAAACAGCCGAACGGGACGGCGGCGGCCAAAGCCGCACTGGTCTGCAGACGGGTCAAATCCACATAATTTTTTTTTTTTTTGAATCAGCCGCCCAGCGGCAGCGACCAAGCCGGCGGCCAGCCTCAGTGGCGAAATCGCCGGAAGCGGCGCAATTTCCGGCAGCGGACGAGAAGATGAAAACGGGTGCGTTACGGTACAATCCAAGATTCGCAAGTTCAGTTCCAAAATTGTTCAAGCAGAGAGAATTGAGGGAGATCCGAGAATTGTTCAGTTCCAAAATTGTTCAATTTTTCCCAGATGCCGGAGATCCCTATTTCCCGGCTGATTTCGTAGAGAGAGAGAGAGAGAGAGAGAGAGGAGAATTGAGGGAACGATTGAAAAAGAGAGAGAGGGGAATTGAGAGAGATTTTTTCTATTTTTTATGATTTAAGAAAAATAAATGAATAATAATAGAAATAATATTTATATGGGGAGTTGAGAGGAAAGATAAATTTGTATTAGGGAGTAGAGAGGAAGTATTAAAGTGGTATGGACTGAGGAGGAAATTGAAATGTGAGTTAGGGATTTATTAGGAAATATCCGTTATTTCTACCTTCTTATTATACAAGGAAAATGGAAGGGTATTAGAAATTTGAAACGTGGCTCGTTCATTGAGCTCCTTTTGAGCTCTTTACTTTGCATCCCTTTGGCTCAATTTTTTTTCTGCATTTTTCATTTTTTTTAATTATTCGGAGGTTAAAA